AGTGCTAGGAATGGGGGAGGAATTTTTAAGGGCCGTCCAATCTTAGCATTAGAAGGGACTTGAGATTGTTTTGTGCATCTTCCCTCAACACATTGTCACTGTCCTTCTTGAAGTGTGGGTGGCAGATGGAACACAGTACTCCGGCTGTGGTCTAGCCGGCACCAAAGAGTAGGGCTGCCTGTTCTCCTGCTTTCAACACTCTCGGTCTATTAACAAAGCCCAGTTTTTACTACTTCCCAAACCCACTCATTATGTGGTTACCTCACTGTGCTGTTGCCTCATATTGAGTTACCAGCTAACAAAAATGCTTCATCTTTTATTATTTATTTCCTTACTTATTTTCTCCATCAACCCACTTCAATTAGGGTCCAGGTGGCCTAAATACTCTTCCTGCTCCTGAGTTATCTGGGCTAAGTTTCTGGTGGTCTCATCTCCGCTGGGTCTGGTTACCCATTGCAGTTGAAGTTCTTCCCCATTTATAGAGAATATGGACTTGGGCAGAAGATGGGAGGTTCATTTTCTCTGTTTGCTACTGTATCATCCTTGTTAGTTGCCCTAAACTTTCTTGTTCTTATCACTGAATCAGTACTTTGCCAATTCTCCTTTTCAATATCTTCTATATTTTTAAAAACTTCAGCCCAGACCAGGTGTGGTGGCTCACACCTGTAATCCTAGCACTCTGGGAGGCTGAGGCAGGAGGATCGTTTGAGCTCAGGAGTTCAAGACCAGCCTAAGCAAGAGCAAGACACTCCGTCTCTACTAAAATACAAAGAAATTAGCTGGACAACTAAAAATATATAGAAAAAAATTAGCCAGGCATGGTGGTACATGCCTGTAGTCCCAGCTACTTCGGAGGCTGAGGCAGGAGGATCGTTTGAGCCCAGGAATTTGAGGTTGCTGTGAGCTAGGCTGATGCCATGGCACTATAGCCTGGGTGACAGAATGAGACTGTCTCAAAAAACAAACAAACAAGCAACAAAAAGCTTCAGCCCATTCTAATACTGTGCCTATTTGGCATTATCATTGAGGCCATGCCATGATTTTGTATCTGCAATTTTGAGGGCTTCTTCCCACCTTTAAGATGAATCTGTTCTAGCTTCTCAAAGAGCACCCTGGGAAAGCATGCTACTTTCAACCTTTCCCTCTTTTTTTTTATTCTTCAGGTTTTAGAGTCAGAATTTTGCCAGTGTAGAGCCTTCCATACTTCTTGGGCATATTCCCATTACAGTCTCTGGCTATGGAATTATCTAACCTTAATATTGTTTTATTAAACAATAATCATAGTACTTTAAAGGCCAAGCTCATGCAAGATTGACATACATGACATAAATTTAAGAAATTCATGTTTACTTGTATTGTTGGCTTAAAGAAAAATCTAAGAATATGTATTCCTTCTAGACTTGTATAAATCAGGAATATGAAAGATTCCTTCCAGGGTCATAAAAATTGAAGTTTGTAAAAGAAAGATATTTTCGCCTTTGGTTTTAATTGAAAGAACAATGTGCATGCTTAACTTTTACCAGAATGTAGAAAGCAAAAAAAGCTTTGCTTTTAAACATAACACTAAACACTGAAGGAACGTCCTCTCTGCCAGATGACCATAAACGCAATTACATAGCGATTCTGTTCCTGCAGTGACAGGCAGTCAGATATCCTCAGCCACCTCCGTTCTTCAGTTATGCGCTGAAGTTCAGGGAGTGTCTTGACTGTCTCAACTGGGCTGAATACCAGACCATCTAATCTAATTTATTGTCCTATTCAATTGCAAAGAGAATCTCCTGGCCAAAAGAAAGTACAACATGGATTTTAGTTTTGCCTAGAAGTCTTTCCATTTTGCTTTGCTTTACTAAGGTTTGTTCAGTTTCAGTACAGCATTAAGCAACTAATTGACCTGAAATGGAAGTAAAGGGATCTGACTCTGTCTACCCATTTTCACCTTAAACTTTTCCCTTTCCAACAACATCTACTAAACATTTTTTGTGAGGTTCTCAAGCCAATTTCCCTCCAAACGTTTTCTTGTTTTGTTTTCCTCAGGCAAAAAAGAAATTTCAAAACAGAGAATGAATTTCAAGTCCAGAGAATGAAACTGATGCTTCCATGGAAAGCCCCCCAAAGAATTTGAGTCAAAGTACCTTGAGGTCCTTCCCCACTAGACTAGACTGAGAGAATGTTTCCCAGTGGTGGCTGCTCTCAACTCCAATACCACCAATGCTTAGCATTGGTTCTTTGAATGATTTCAGTGGGCTCTGGGGCCTAGGGCTGTCCCTGGTGATCTGGTACCTGGCCCTTGGATGATGAGGGCAGCTGGATAGCAGCCCAGAGTTTGATAGCTCGATGAAGGAGGCAGGGGTCAGGAGGGTGCGCTGTGCATTGGTTGGTTTGTATTTCAAAAATGTGCTCCTGGAGTGGAGGACCTCTACTGAGGGGGCAGGTGACAAAGGAAGCCAAGTGGCTCAGGCATATGATGAGGTTGTCCAGAACAAGATGTGCCCGGCATAAACATATAGGGCAGATGTTAAAGCATCAAGTTTACAGAAACTAGAAACATGGTTCATGCAGGCTGCAAGTCCGAGTGTCCCTGGCATTTCTTCAGAACCCACCACCCCAAGTTGCAACAGACTCCTCCTGAGGCACCTTAAGTGGCTCTGTTCTTCCACCAAGATCCTGTTCCCTGAAACTTTTCAGATACCTCCTTCCCATCAAAACTTACCTGCAAATACAAGGTGGCTCACCCTAGAATCCAGTTAGAGCATGATGTTGACTTGTGTCAGGTGTTAGTGCCAGGGAAGCAGATGTTCATCTGAGGGGCCCCAGGGACATTATCTGAATCCAGAAATAGTGATGGAATCCCAGGAATTGCAGACAGTAGGATAGACTAACAGGGGAAGTGCTTTAAAGAGAAGAAATCTGTGGGACTGTCTGTATCATACTAGGCAGGTAGTCACCTACTCCCCTGGCTCTGGCTGTACAATTTTTATCATCACCTAGAGTATTTATGAAGTTTGTGTCTGAATGTGACACTCTCCTACATAAACACAACAGGCCAGTTACCAAGATGTAAAGTCGGCTGTCTAGGAATCTTAAGAGACAGAGAGAGGAAAACTGCATATATAGATTACAATATTCCCTACAAACAAAGAAACTTAGCCTAAATTGCTCTAAAAGACAAAGGTACAAATATTCGTGGAAAATACAAAAATATGCATTTGAGATAAACATAAGAAAGGATTTTCTAATTTTAACTGCCCCAAAATGAAGCAGCCTCCTTCACTAATGAGTGAGTTTCACATCTCATTATGCGAGGCCCAGTTGAGCTAGCACAGCATCTCCAGGACACAGAGCAGAAGTGGCCGGGGTGGGGGTGGGGCACAGGGAACCACCAGGCAGGGAGCAGCTGGAGGGGGAGGGGGCAGGCCTGAGGGAGGTCACTGAGGCCAGGGCAACAGCAGATCTCAAACCGATTCAGGGAGGAAGTTAGGCATTCCCAGACCAGCTAACCTGGGCAACAGGATGGGAAACAGGACGCTCAAGGGTTTGGAATTCACGTATAAGCAGGCGAGGACTAGAGCAGCCTGATTCTAATGCTAATGTCAAGATGAAAACATCCATTCTCATAGACTGGTCAAACTTGGAGTCCAATTTGGATTATAATAAATACCCTTGTAGAGATCCCAGCTGCCAGTCATCCAGCCACAGTTAGGCTTGGCATTTTTTGTGTCAAAATTGACTGGGTTACATAGTTTCTGTTGCCTGCCATGGGGTGTTGGTGGCCGAGCTGGACTGCCAGTCACTGCACTGTCACTGCAAACTGGGGAACAGGCGTGGTCTGCTCCCTGCAGACAACCAGCCTCAGAGAACATGCCCATCTCCCTCAGGAAGTGTCTGAGGCTCTCCCATCCTTTGGAAAAGTTATCTTGTCATGTGCATCTTGTTTCATGCCACTTTTTCAAGCCACATCTTAAATCCATCAAAAATGTTTAGCTAAAACAAGTTCAAAGCGTGGTTTCCGGGAGTCCGACTTAGCCCTGAATTAGAGATGGACTAATAGCTGCAGAGAGATTAGAGAATGTTTCTGAGTCTACTTTTTAGAGCAATGTCTACTTCCAAGGCAAGGAAGACTTTTTTTTTTTTGTAATATAAAAGCACTACTCCTCACCTCCGCTCCCAAAGCAGTTTCATGTAAAACTCTCCCATTCGCCTGGATGAGAAAAACATCTTTAATACAGTTGTACAAATGTGATTTCCTCACTGGCGAATATCACATTTTTGTGGGTTCACAAAAAATAAAACTGTTTTTCCTTTTGGCTGAAAATTGCTTATGAAAAGGAAAGGCGGTTTTGGTTCTTGGTGCTTTCTTTCCCAAGCAGGACATGGTTTTATTCGGTGGTGAGAAACCGCCTCTGTGATACACCCAGTCAATTTTCACCTGCAGCTAAATCAGTTTCACACTAAATTTCCAATTTGAGCGAGGAAAGCCTGCATTTACCTGGTGAGCTGGTAAAATGTTATCCCAGACCAAATTCACCAGTACCTATAAAACCGTCAGTCACGGGGGAACTTTCCCCACAGGCCAGGAACCACAAGGACTTTAATCCTTTTGCAGTGAAATAAGGTGAAAAAATCATTCAAATCCTCAAACTGAGAACAAACTGTGTCCTCTTGGGACCTGAATGTCCCTGAGATTCTCCCCTCAGCCAAGCCACAGGACAGCAGTCAGCCTCTTCCAACCCGCCACTTAAGAAAGCCACAGGTGAGATGAAGAGCAATGAGGGAAATTCTTACTCAGGACAAATGATCCTTTATTATACATGGATTAACCAGACATTTTGTTTCTCACTTATTGGATTTTTATTTTCAAGGGCACCTTCACTCATTGGAGTCTTCCAGAGGAAGAGGAACCTTGACATCAGTGAAACATTCTGTTTCACCACCAACCGTGGCACTCACAGGTGACGGTGAGGGATCGGCATGCATGCCGCCATTTTGCAGTGACGTTGACCGGAAGTCAGGGGGCGTGGTCCTGCTGCCTCACGTAACTGGCTGTCTCTGGGGCACCAGCTTTCTTCTCCATAAAAGGAGGATACGTAATGGCGTTCCTTCTGAAAAGGGTGGCTGAGTTCAGTTTCAAAGTCTGCACATAATAAGGCAAACGGCAGGTACTATCAAAATTGCTCTAGAAAATCTCCAGCACAGAACAGATCTATTTCCTTGAACACCAAACGAAGATGGTGGCCTGTGTTCAGGGGCCACACTGAAGAAGACTGTGCATGTCTGTTTTCTCACCCCACTGGGAACACGGGGAAAATGAGATTCCGAGGACACAGCTGCCTCACAGCTCAGGCTGAGGCAGGGACTCACTGAGGGAGACCTCCTGGCCTTCCCCCTCCCTGCATGCCCACCTGCTGTGGTGGAGACTGCCTATGGAATTCCCTAAGCACTATTCCTGCACACATATATGACATACTATCATGCTTTTATTAATGTGAGAATAACAATGATGATGACGATGACTTAGATTTGCCTAATCTTTTAGAAACCACAAGACACGTGTATATATCTATTTTCAATTTTATTTTAACAACAGATGAAATAGGTGAGGTTATTATTGTTAATGTTCTTTCACAGGTCAGAGAACTGAGGTTCAAAGAGGCAGGGCTGAGACAGGGGACGGCAACGCCTGTGTTCCTTCCCTAGCCCACAAGTCCTCCACAGGAGCATGCCAGCCTCAGGATGATGGATGCAAAGAAAATGACGAGATCCCAAGTCAGCCAGTATGGAATAGCCACTCTGCCGGGGATAGAGCAAGGCACGCCTGCATGCATTCTATTTAAAGATTTTTTCCTCATGATTGAAAACCAATGGAACTTACTGTTTGTAACCATTGTAACCACTGTGGTAGTCTTTGATGCGTTTTCAAAATGTAAACATAACAAAATGCTTCTGCCTTTTGGATTTATTAGTTAATATGTCACATCAATATAAGATGCATTTCCATGTTTGTACCAGCAAGGAATCAATCAACCCTTACAATGGTTTGGCAATTAAGAAGAGCCTTGATCTTCTCTCTGTAGCCCAAGAACTGTAAGCATTTTTAAGTGCTTTCACTTTCAGTGTTATTTGTAATTATAAAAATTTTGGAAATACTCTAAATCCAACCATGGGAGATTAACAAAATTAATTATGATGAGTGCATGCAATGGAATGAATATAGGTACTGATATTAAAATTATACTATGAAAGACTACTTATTGGCATGGGAAAATAGTCATTATGACAACATAAATAGTATGCTATAAATGTTTTTTTAAGTATTGGGGTATGTATCTTAGTCTATTTTGTGTTGCTATAACAGAATCCCTGAGACTGGGTAATTTATAAGAGCAAAAATTTATTTCTCACAGTTCTAGAGGCTGGGTAGTCCAAGATCAAGGCACTGGCAACTGGTGAGGGCTTTCCTGCTGTGTCCTCAGATAGTGGAAGGTGGAAGGGCTAGAGAGAACCAACTCCCTCTGTCAAGACCCAGTGTAAGGGCACCTTGTCCCATTCACCAGGGAGCAGCACTCATGGCCTAATCAGCTCTTTAAAGCCCCACCTCTTAACATTATCACATTGGCAACACGTGAATCAACATCCAGGGGACACATTCAAGTCAGCAATTTGCATGCCAGAAAAAGGTCTAAAAGGCTATGTAACCAATGTTACCTTACCCCCAGACAGTGAAATTATAGGCGATTTTTTTGTTTGTTTTCTATATTTATCTTTTTCTGTGTTTCTCAAATTTTCTACATTGAGGATGGTACTGAGAACCAATGAGCAGATCAAAAGCAGCAAAAGTGCTCAAGTCTACAATCAGCATGCAGCTGAACCTTTCAAAGACATCTGTCTTCCCCATCGTACAGATTGGCTCCATGCAGACTTAGAAAAGACCATGTCCAAGTGTAAATGTGAGTTAAACTTCATCTGTGAAAGCAATTACATGATGTGTTCTGATTCTATATTCTTGTGCTGAAACAAAAGCAATCTCATCCCACCAGTGAGCTTATTTTCAGTTTTTTGTTTTCAATTCTCTTTTTGTTCCCTAAAAAATGTAAAACATGAGCTACTGAAGAGGGAAAGAGAGAGAGTAGAGCTGTCAGGTATCTGCCTACATGATATGAGTTAAGGGGAGCTTTAATATTCCCAAACCTGAAATATCTTTTGAACTGGAGGAGCTTCCTAAGGGTTGGATGCTATCAGAATCCTGGTATCCACCACCCTTTTATTTGGGAAGGTGGGTCCAGGGAGTGAGAAAAGATATTTCATTCCGGGAGAATAATGGGTTTTTTTTTTCTTCCTTTTTTCATAGTTATTTTTCGAATTATAAAAAATAATAAATGCTAATTTCATGTTTAAACAAAAAGAATTTTTGAAAAGAAATAAAAAGTTATGTGAAATCTCACCACCCAGAGAAAAGTAAAATGCCCATCCATGCATCTTTGTGTTTGGTTTGACTTGCTTCACCAACTTTAGTTGTGACCACAATTGCATCTCTTTAACTTTTGAAATTATTCAAAGATAGGAAAAAATTCTCAGTATTTCCCTCTTGGATTACTCAAGAACCCTGGCATTTCCTCAGTCCAAGGAGCTTAGACTGGAGTCTTTGAGCTTAGCAAGGAGTGCTTTCTTGGAATCTGATCACTTCATGACTACTGTTGACTCAGTCACTGGCACACAGTATCACAGTTGAACATTGTTCTTTCTTCCTCCAGGTCAATGGACCATGACAAGTCACTGCCACTGACATGCCCTTGATAGCTTTGACTCCCACACAGGCACCAGTGGTACCCCCAAGTTGGGCTCCAAGATTTCAATTCTTTTAGGTCTTACTGTCTCAGCCTTTGTTCCCTGCTCCAGGATGATGGTATCTGGCACATTCTGGGCTAAATTCAGCTTTCATTCATGAATGCTAGGGCTCTGAGTTGAGCCTCATTTGTTTAGTGATTGATAAATATTCTATTATGCAGACATATGATAATTTATTTAGACTTTCTCCTCTTATTGGACATTTAGGGCTTTTATTTCTATTTTTCTCTAATATTATAAATAATCATAATGAATATTTTGTTCATATGTCTTTGACCACATCTCTGATTACTTTCTAAAAGTAGAATTACTGGGCCACAGTGTATGAACATTTTAAAGCTCTTTTACACATACTGTCAACTTGCTTAGTAGAATCATTCAGACAACCATGTGTGAGTCTCCATCTCACCCAACCTCTTATGTGTGTTTACTTTCAGCATCAAGAACAAACCTTGCTAACTGGATATTTGGAGATAGTATATTATTATCTTGATTTGCATTATTTAATTTTGGGCTTAAGAAATACACTTGTCAGTTCTATGTATGTCCTTTCTCTGTGACTCATGTGTTACTGAGCAAAGTTTTTTTTGTGCCCTATACAATAGGGAACAGTCAGTTTATCTGAGCACTCCAATCATCACCCCAGAAAGATGAAGATACTAAATGCCTTGGAAAAGCAGTGGCTTTTATTTTACATTGTCCTCCATTAGTTGACTGAACTATTTGTTTTGAATTCCAAGAAGTTATTTTTTAAATTCTTAGCTAGGGAATCTGATTTTTTCTGCCTTCCTTTCCTTCGTTTTGTCTTTTTTTGTTAACTTCATTATTGTAGTTCCTTCTAGTTTTGCCTCCTGATAGAAATGAATGGTGAGAATTACTACCAGCATAAGATGACAGTGCTGTTAATATATCAACTCATGAGGGAATCCAAAATTTAGCCTTTTGAATTAATTGCAACTTATGCTACCTCACCAAGTGCTGTGACCTGAAAAACTGATGCGTTGGATGCTTTGCTTGGCACCATTAAGATAAGCACAGTCACCTTGTGAGTATTTTGATCCGGACCTTTCTGTCAATGGTCAATGGTCACATCAAACTGTTCTGAGATGTAAACTCTTCTGGGGTCTTACTCTGATGTAATTCATCTAGACTATAACCATTTTTGTGGTTTTTTTTTTTTAAATTAGCAAAAATGACAGAAGCCAGTTAAAAGGATTTTAGAAACAGTTAAGATCTTGATTTGTAATAAAAGAAAATTCCCAAACTCTGGGGCATTTTCCTACATATTTCTAGGTCCACGTGGAAAGTCAATACTCCAGAAGAAAATCTGTCCCACCTTTAGAAAAGAACAAAAGAAAATGTAGGTTCAGTGTTTTAAATCCTGAACTTACATTTTATTTTATTATTTTGCCTTTTTAAGGGTTAAACTTTTCAGGCAAGTAAAATGATGAGAGTCATCAGAATCTTGAGAAACTCACACACTTGGATGATCAGTCTTTTATTAAGATTCATTACTTGGATTGCCCATTTTTGTTCAACTAGCTTTTCCATTTATAAATTTCAAACTCCATTAGTTTGTTGTTGTGCTGTTTATTGGCAATGTCTCTTCTTTTGCCACAAAGTTTAGACATGACTCAATTCCAAGCACCCTCTTGTCAAAGGTACTTACTTAAACCAACAAACACACCAGTAGGATAAACAATTATATGGAACCTCTGAGAAGCAAGGGGTCCCTGTGATATAAACAACCTGGAAATACATCATAGAATACTGTCGAGTATCCCAAATCAAGTTTATGTGGTCAATAATATAATTCTTTCCATCTCTGTGAGAAACTTATCCGCCACATTCATGTTGACTATATAGTTTGAGAACAATTTCTCCTCTAACCACATCCCCATTAAAATGTAACACGTCTATAGCAAGCATTAAATCAAAAGACAAAGTACAGGAAATTGTTTTCATATGTTGCTTGTGCTTTAAAAGAATGGATAAAAGAAATCTTTGCAATTACTGCTTTCTTAATACTTTATGGTTCAATATAAAGGATCTTGCCTATTCTTCACCCAATCTGCTCTCAGGTAAAAACCATGAGATTTGCATTTGGTGAATGGTATCTGAATAAACTTTCTCACATGTTCACAAAATTGAAGAACATGTATGTGTGTGTTCTTCCTTGAATGTAATTATAACCAGACACAAAAATCTACAGTGCTATTTTAAGTTTGAGCTCCCTGTACCAATTTCTCAATAAACGTAGAAAGCTCCTAGAATAATAACTGTATTCTGGAAGTGCTAAATGGGTTCTAAGAAGAAGGAAGGAAAGGCTCAATGGCTAATAAACCAACATGAATATCTATCTCTTACTCTGTGGTGTAACTCATCCACTGCAATGGATGGGGCTGGGTGATTGGAAAGTGAGGGCAACTCCTCAGCATGGCCCAGCTCTGAGACACAGTCCCATCAATGGTGACATCAGGCTCACATTCACTGGTCTCATGGAGTTGAGACAACCTGAAACATTTAGCAACACCTCTGTTTGGCAGGTCAATATCCATTTTACCTAAACTGAAGTTCAGAGGCATTGAGCCTGGACTAGCTTTTTGAAAACAAGTCCATTGGTATTGCCAGTTTGATTGTTTCAAATGTTCATTTGTAAGAAAAGTGAAACTTTCACTTAATGAGATATTCCATGAATTTAAAAAAAAAAATAGATTGAATTTCTGTATGGTTTCCAGTTCCTTCCTTATATGTAATGAAATTAGATGCATCATCTCTCATGAGATAAATATACATGAATTATTCGAATGGCACAGAAGCTCTTTTCCTCACACACTGGCTGGCTAGGTTGTGGAAAGTATTGTCAAAATCAATTGTTTATAAGACCAAGCTGATTTTATAAAAGCAACTGTTATTCTCGGGTTTTGGCAGTGGGCAGAGTCACAGTGCTTATGCTGTTCATACCTTTATGTGCATGAAAATGCGGAAGTTGAACTTTTATGAGAGGAAAGCATCCGTACCATAACTAAATATATATATAGCCTATGAATTAGTTTCCTAGGGCTGCCATAACAAATCAGCAGGAATTGCGTAAAACAGCAGAATTTATTATCTCACAGTCCTGGAGCCCAGAAGGCTGACATTCAGGTGTTGGCAGCGTTGGTCCCTGTTGGAGGTTCTGAGGGAGAACGAGTTCATGCCTCTGTTCTAGCTTCTGGTGGTTGCTGGCAACCCTTGGTGTTCTTTGGCGTTTAGACACGTCACTTCAATCTCTGCTTCTGGTGTCCTCCCCTGTGTGTGTCTGTGTCTCTCTGAGTGCAAACATCCTCTATTTATAAAGACACTAGTCATTGGATTAGGGCCCATCCTAATCTAGTATGACCTCTACCCAGTTCCATCTACAAAGGGCCTATTTCCAAATAAGGTCACATTCCCAGGTACAAGGGATTAACATTTTTATATATCATTGTGGGAAACACAATTCAACACCCAGCATCTCCCAAACAGAGTGTTTCCGTTCAGCTAAAATACTAAAATTACCTTGTGTAAATGAATGAGCAAGCTTTGAAAACATATTATTTATGTCTTATACTCTATTGGAAACTTTAATATTTATGTCCACTTAATCTGAGAAACATACATCTTCTACTATTAACATCAATAGCAAGGATTAGTATATATGGCTATTGTTTATGGAGATACACATGCACCCATGCACCAACTCTCTCTCTCTCTCTCTCTCTCTCTCTTTTTTTCACACACACACACACACACACACACACACACACACACACACACACACAATCTTTGTACATCACACAGGCTCCTGCATGAGAACCTGACGAAGCTTTACTGTGGTGCTTCTCTAAGTCTACAGCTATGCACAGTACACGTACACAGGCTGAGCATATCTAAAACATGTTCGGCCATCTTTGAATACATTCCACAGATCAGTGCCCGGCATTGGGGAAGTCCATTAATAAGATTAATAAGACTCAAGAGTGTAGGTTTATTAAATGGTGGAAGGATGGCTCATCAATAAACACATTTCAAATAGTACTCTGCTCCCTCCTCTTTCTGTTTCTTGAATTGGATGTTATGGCTAACTGTTCACCTAACCTGTTCCTTCTTCACCCATACCAACACCTAGATGACATTTCTTAGCCGGTTATACTATATGGCCATGGGCAGAAGATGGGCATAACTTCTTGGCTTGGCTCATAGAAACCTAGCACAGAAGCTCCTCCATGCTGTTCCCCCCTCCTTCTGGATTCACTGAGACAAGCAAAGTATCCTTGGAAGCCCAGTTTTGAAGATGGTGGCGCCACCAGACAGAAGAAGCCTGGGTTTCTGAATTACTACATGGTGATCACAACACCCATATTGAGCTTTATCATGTTAAAGCCGTAATGTAATTTGGGGTTTGTTTGTCACAGCACCTAGCACTACCTTCATTTAAGT